CCTGCACCCTGACTGGCTCATCTTCTCCCACAACCCTTCAGTAAGGGGGTGTCCAGTTGCCTACCAATGGGCTTTGAGTCTCCACTCTGCACTCACCCTCATTTACAATCATATGATTTTTTTGCTCTTTGATGCGTGATACCTGAGCCCTTCGACATGAGCCTTTCGACAGCTCATGGTCGCACAGGCTGGTGTGCTTCTTCCATGTGGACTTTGTTGCTTCTGAGCTAGATGGCCGCTTTTTTATCTTCAAGCCTTTGAGACCCCAGACGCTATATCCTTTGATAGCTGGGCACCATCAGCTTTCTTCACCACATTTGCTGATGCACACGTTTATCTTCAGTGAGCGTATCAGGAAAATGGGCACCCACTGATATGATTTTTTTGTTCTTTGATGTCTGATAACTGGCCCCTTCTACACCTCGTGGTCAGACAGGCTGGTGTGCTTCTTCCATGTGGTGGCTCTTATAGCTCTTATCACAATTCATGCATCCATCTATTGTGTCAAGCACATTTGTACATATATTGCCACATATATTGCCATCATCTTTTTCAATACATTTTCTTTCTACTTGAGCCCTTGGTATCAGCTCATTTGTCTCCCCTCAGCCTCCTCCCTCCCTCATGAATCCTTGATCATTTATAAATTATTATTTTTTTCATGTCTTACACTGACTGATGTCTCTCTTCACCCACTTTTTTGTTGTCCATCCCCCTGAAAGGGGGTTATATGTAGATCACTGTGATTGGTTCCCCCATTCTCCCCCCAACTTCCCTTTCCCCTCCTAGTATTACTACCCTTATTATTGGTCCTGAGGGGTTTATCTCTCCTGGATTCCCTGTGTTGTGAGCTCTTATCTGTTCCAGTATACATGTTATGGTCTAGCCCGATTTGTAAAGTAGAATTGATAGTGGTGGGGAGGAAGCATTAAATGACTAGAGGAAAGTTGTATGTCTCATTGGTGCTATACTGCACCCTGACTGGTTCATCTCTTCCTTGTGACCCTTCTGTGAGGGGGTGTCCAATTTTCTACAGATGGGCTTTGGGTCTCCATTCTGCCTTCCCCCTCATTCACCTCGATATGATTTTTAGTTCTGGGTCTTTAGATGCCTGATGCCTGATCCCATTGACACCTCATGATCACACAGGCTGGTGTGCTGCTTCCATGTGGGCTTTGTTGCTTCTCAGCTAGATGGCCACTTGTTTACCTTCAAACCTTTAAGGTACCAGTGGCTATATCATTTGATAGCTGGGCATCATCAGCTTTCTTCACCACATTAGCTTATGCAATCATTTTGTCTTCACTGCTCATGTTGGGAAGATGAGCATCACCAACTGCCGGGTTATTAGAACAAAGTGTTCTTGCATTGAGGGAATAATTGAGTATAGACCCAATGCCTGTTTGCTAGCTTAACACTTAAGATATAAATATATGAACATAGATCTATTTCCCTATATTTATATATAAATATATTTACAATGTACATGCCTGTATTTAGACCTCTATAAATGTCTTTTGCCTCTTAGTTTTTCCCTATATTTCCTTTTAATTTCCTCTTGTCCCACTATCATGATTGACCTTTATTCAGGTTTCAGTAGCTCTTCTCAGCTAAATAGCATTTGATCAAGCCCCACCAGGCATCCTACGCCCTCTTTACCAATGATTTTATATCACTTGTTGTTCCCTTGTCCCTGGGTTTGTTGGCATCCCCCCACCTTTCCCCCACCTCTTTCTCTCCTGTGTCTTCCTTTTCTCCTCAGGGTTGTTTATTCCACCTATGTTATCTAGATAGACATGCAAAATCAATAATAAGCACAAGAACAAAAGAAAACAAAAACACAAAACAACAAGAACAAAATAAAATAACAACAAAAATGAAAAGCCTATAAATAGTCCCAGGTCTGTTTGTTAACCTTTATGCATGTTTTTTGGTTGAGTCTGATGGGGTGCTACCTCCTGGCCCCAAAGTCTATTTTTGGTATTTTTAGGGGACACTGCAGAAACAGTGAGGGAATTGTGCCTGATCTGACCCCACCACACTTGAGTGAATCACTAAGTGTGTGCAATAGAGCAGCAAGGGGAGCAAAGCAGTGATGGAGAAAAATATTAAAGAGCACAATTTATTTAGAAAGAACACATAAATATTACACAGTCTGTGAAGCACTGGCTTGCTCAGCTTTTCAAGGATATTGGTGAGAGTGAAAGCTACTTAGTAGAATATAACTTTTATTTTCAGAATTTCAGATCCACTTTTTTCTCAATTTGCTAAGTGGGTCTAACACCTCTATGCTGCAAGGTACCAATCATAGTGGAGGAATCTGCAAAGTCTGATTCTAAGGAAATCAACTGGCAAGAATAATCATCAAGACTACATTACACACCACTGAACTATCAAGTATTTCAATGTCTAAAGCATGAAGTGAATTGATAAGTAGGTATAAAAACTGGAATATAGGACTAAATTGAAAAAAGAAATCCTACAGTTTACTCACCGGCATATTACTCAAATGGCATTTGGCCCTCCTTTCCTGCCTTACAGGAGCCCTGGTTGCCTGGTGGCGATGCGCTAGGCTCCTATCTGCAAGATCAATGGCTGAGAGTGGTGGCTGTGAGGAGTGACCATTTCTGCACTCCCAGGGGCCAGTTTGACTCTATCCTGCAGGGTCACCAGGAGGGGGCATCGACTTGAGGCAGTGGTTTTCTTTTTAAAATAAAGGTATAAGTGTCTGCAGTGTAAAAGTTATGAGAGTTTTCTATCTCAAATATATCTGCTACATACTGAAAAAGATCTCACTGTCAAGGAGTGGATTCCCACTCAGTGTAAATAAATAAATGTTTAATGAATGGTTCCCATTCTTAAATTAAAAAGTTAAGAATTCCATTTCAGTTAGAGAGATATTTTATTTTTATTATAGTTAAGGTATTTTTTCTCTCTGGAATCCTAGAGAAATACAAAAAACATAAAAATTTCCCCGAAACAGCACTAATTTCACTAAATGAATTGCTGGGGGGGTGGGGGGGGCACTTGTTCTAAAATAACTGAATTTTTAAATATTAAAGGTCATTAGCATTTCAATCCAGGGTACTTTAATTTCCAAGAACATTTATAAATGTTGGTGCTTTAAACAATAGTAAAACAATGGTTTCAAATTTGAAAGCTTACTAAAATTGCACTTAGGACACGATGCCGGTAGATGGCCATCACCAAGAGAAAAACTTTAAAACGGGCCTCTTTTAAAAACCAAAACAATCTCCCTGCCAAGGACTGATTCTGACTCCTAGCGGAAGGGAGAACTGCCTCTCTAGGTGTCTGAGACGGCAACCCTTCCTGACAGTAGGAGCCTCATCTTTCTCCTGGGGAGCATCTGTGGGCTTCGAAGGGCGAGCCTGGCAGTTAGCAGCCCAGCATAACACGCTATCCGCCGGGGTTCCGTGACCTCTGTGTAGAGTGCAGGTTTTAAAAAGAGAACATAATTACTTTTTTTTTTTTTTAACAGAAAAGTATTAAATAGAGGTTTGGGAAAGGGTTACATAGGATCAGGGAAGGAATTTGCCCTAGATTTTGTCTAAGATTGCTTTGATTTTGTTACTGTGCAAACAAAGCAATTTAACGCTTTGAGAATATTCTGAAGTAAACGCTTCATAGAGATGAAGTAGTCTGGGAATTTTAACTAAGACAATTTCATGCTTTGACTCAAATTCCTACTTTGTCAATCAAAGGTTCATCGAACTCACAGTTGTGCTCAAGAATCAGGCTCCGATTCTGTTTGGGTTCTGAGGGAAATCATACATAATTCCCTAATTCAATTGAATTCAGGGTTTAATTAATGGGGATGTACTTTAAACTCACTACATGGAAGATGCTCAGCTTCTTAACCTTTCTTCGAAAAGGTAACCAGTTGTCTGTTTTCCCTTTGTTTAAACGAGCTGGTGTCAGGATAAAGGCTACATTTTGGTTACATCATGAGACAGAATCTTTGCAGGATTAGAAATCCCTTTAACAATTGTTACTAAGGAGGATGTAAATTAATCTAACAAAAACTAACCTAACAAAATCTGAAAGTTATGAACGTTAGCCCTAAGTTCAACTCTTTTTCTCAACCTACCCACCTTTAATTGCCTTTTAAAGGAAATCAGTATATCCATACTCCTCTCCACACTATTTGTCCCTTAGAAAGGGAAGTATAAAGGCTCTAAGAATAGAAATTATATTAGCCACCTCCAATCTTGTGTACGAAAGTAGTTTGTCCTACGAGAGTGCTAGGTCAACAGGACAATTTCCCTATCTCATGATGTCCTTAAAAAGGGAAATATAGAAACTCATTGTAAACAAACAACACATGATGAGTCCTAAACTAGAACGTCTGTTCTCTTTTCTTCCACTTACTCACTTGTCTCAGTGTATGATTTTTAAATATAAGCTGTTTTAAACTGTACGCTGTCTATCGTGAATCCTACAATGGTGGAGGGACAGATTATAGCTGTGATGTTCTGTTGCACCAAATCATTCACATAGGTACTGCCAATACCTTAAGAAACACAACACCATGAATAATTGAAAATATATAAATATTTACCAAGGTACATTTTCTTATGTAACATTGAAGACCAAGCTGTCTTTAGCACTGTCATAGGGAGGCAGCAGTGCATGCCAAGAGGGACACAAAGTGTTATTTTTTATATGTAGTACAGTTATTTGATGCTGCTAAATTTTAAATACTATCCATATTCCTTTCTTTTTAATTTATTTTTCATATTCTTTTTATAGACAGTACCCATTGATAATGAATATTTGGATAAATGAAATATCTTTTTAGTTTTGTTCATATATAAATAGATTCATATGTCAAATGTTATTACTTTATTCAATATAAGATACATCTTCCAATTATCTAATGCATAGTATGGACAATATAATTATAAGTACAAGGCAATGAAATGGCAATTAGCAAATGAAAGCATTTGCAGAAATACACATGGTCAAGAAAAGAGTGTCATTTAGACTCACCTGTATGTGTAAGGACCTTTTTGCTTAACCTTAATATTGCTGCTGTTAACTGTAACTTCCTGTGGGTTTTGCACATCAAAAATCCAAAACTGTCTGTAGACGTCAGTGCCTGTTTTCACCCAATTTTGGTAAGCAATTGTACCTTCTTCAAGGACGACTTCCTATAAAAAATTAGGTATGTTTGGATTGTTTATTTGTAATAAATATAGGCATTTCTATGAGTCGGTGGAAACTTTTGGTTAACCAACACAAAAGGACTGAGCTCAAGTACCTTGAAACCTTGCCACATCCTTGTGACAGAAGTGTTTTCAACAAGTTATTGTAGCAATGCACCTAGTTAATCTATTACAAAGAGAATCGGTGTGTAGTTCTGCAGAGGGGCCTGTCGATTGTAAGGCAAACAAACGGCAACCTTTAGAGTGACATGATGGCACTATTGCAACAGTTGGTAAAAGCATTTAAAAAGTAAATTCTATTAAAGTTGTTCCAAAAAGTTCTTATTTGGTTGAACATTACCTTCTCCTCCGTTCCTCAGCGAGTTGAACTGATGAAACAGAGAAACAGAGAGAAAAAGCAGTGCACTTGAGAGCTTAGTCCCCTCTTCTTCTAAGGTTGGCCGATTTAGGGATGTTGGTTTACATTTATAAACTAAACATGGAGATTCTGCTCCATGAAAAAGAAAATGTTGAGAACTTCCAATAAACTTTTTGAAGACTATGGTTCCTATAGCTCTCAATTCACCTGCAGATAATCAATAGTACCTGGGTTTTAAAAAATTACATCTTAATACTGTCACCAGGGGTTTTTAGGTTTAAGAAAAAACAAACTAAAGGTAACACAGGCAACATTGTTCAATGATCCCTTTGTAGAACCCATCCAAAATCACAGATGATCCTTGCACTGAAGACGGAATAAAAATAAATACAGATCAATGGCAGAGTAAGAAAACTGGAGATGAGAAAGCCAGTTCTTAGTTTTAGGAGCTGTGAAGCATGGTGAAAGCCCTAAATCCTTCAGGGTCAATGTCCTTATCCAAATATGAAAGCATGACCTTACAAGATTTCTCAGTTTCTTTCCTCTAGTTAATTATCGGAAGTAGCAGACGATGGCACTGCAGTAACTCGTGCAAACAAAGGTGATTTGCTCCCAGGCAGAATTTCCAATGAAGGACCTTGGGAAGAATGCCCAAATGGAGCACTCCAACAGGTCTTAGCACATGAGAGGGAAGAGGAAGAACACCCATTCACGGAAGTTGACCCAAAGAGACCCATGGTTGCACAAACACTCTAACTGTGTCCATCACCTGGAAGCACCAATTCACAGAATGAAGGGGCAAGAGAACACACTGGATCTTATCACACTTCTTAGTATGGTCTCTGGGAAACCAAGTGGCTGGTCCAAGGGGAACCCCAGAAAATAGTAGCAGAATCATGACCTGAGACTAGTCTACTTTCACAATATAATAATACTGATTTTTTTTCTTTCTGGACACCATTTTTTACCTGCTGCATTGTGTTGGCAAAGGTCAAATTACGTCTTATAGCTTCAGAATATTTTGTCTACTGCTTAATGCAGAATGGAAGGAACTTCCTTCTAGAAGAACTCCGTGCCAAGTTTAGTGCAATAACGACACGTTGTGCTATCGCAACTCATTTACACCTGGTACACTGAAGTCGTTAAAGTGATGACAAATCTCTATTTCTTTCTGACAAACAATTGTCATTAAAATTTCTATTTGCGCTCAAAATGCTTATTTCCACATTAATAAGTCAAATATTAAGGCAGAATTCCACTTAAATAATTAAGATATTATGGTTATTTTCTCAGTGTAAGATAGACTTCTCTTGTTATGAGGCTGCTGAAGCTGAGAAGTGTAATGATTGATTATCTAAAGAAGGGAACACTGCAGAAGGTGCTTCCGCACAGTCTCCGTGCGGTACATTTCTTTCTATTCCTTATCAGGTAAGGTGCCTCTCTGGGGCCCATTCTTTAAAAGAGCTCTTATGAAAAGGATCTCAATGACATCTTCAGAAGCCATTTTCTCGAGGTAAAATATCACCTAGGCAGCTTTTTATTATAAGAGTTGAAGCTCAAAACGGTGTTAACTAATCCTTTAAGAATGGAAAACACACATTTTCACAATTGCGATGTTTGAACCCATTGCTGTAGCAACTATATCAATGCATCTTTTTGAAGGCTTTTCTCTGACCTTTACCAACTATGATGTTGTGCTCAAGGACTGGTTCCTCCTGATGACAGCGCTAGAGTGTGCAAGTCAAACCCTCCCAGCCTCCCTTCTAAGGACCATTCCAGCTGTCCCCCTTCTGAGACAACTTTGTTTGCTCTTTGATCAGCTCTGGGCCATTCCTTGTTCATCGCCCAAACTATGATTCAAACACACCAATTCATCTGTCACTCTCCAGATTTCACAAGCATATGAGTTACTTGGAAATATCATGGCTTTGGGCTTTGTTCAAGGCAGTAGTATAGCTTTGATTTCTTGACTGCTGCATCCATGAACATTGATATGGATCTAAGTAGTAAATCCCTGACAACCATAATATTGTCTCTGTTCATCATGCCTACTGACCCAGTTATGAGAATTTCGGCCTTTTTTACATTGACTTGCAGCCCATGCTACAATGTGTGGTCTTTGATTTTCATCAGCAAATGTTTCCTTCAACTCATTCATGTTTTCAGAAAGCAAAGTTGTATTCCCTGACTGTAGAAGATTGTTGATCAACAGCCTGAATCCGGATGTCATGTCCCTTTTCATATAGGCCAGATTCTCAGATGATTTGATGAGATTGTATAAGTATGTTGAAAGGACACGCCCTTATCCACCTCTTGCCTTACATGAAAACATGCATTATTTCCTTTTTCTGTCTGAATGGTTGTTTCTTAGTCTACGTGCCAGTTCCAGAGGATCTAACTAAGTCTTCTAGAATTCCCAGTCTTCAAAATGTTATCCGTAGTTTATTATGACCCACAGTCAAATACCTTTGCAGAGTCAATGAAACCCAACTAAACATATTTCTGTTATACTTTCAGCCACGGTCCATCTGATGCAGAAGTCCTCTCTTCAGGGCCACGTCCTCTTGTGACTTCAGCTTGTATTTCTGGCAGCGCTTGGCCAATGTATGGCCGAGGCTTTTTTTAATTATCTTCAAGTTATATTAATTTTATTTAACAATGATTATTGAATTTTGTTGTGCAAACTTTCTTTGGAATAGGCCCAAATATGGATCTCTTCCAGTCAGTTTTCCAGGTAGCTATAGTCCAAACTTCTTGGCTACTAAGTACTAATGAGTACTTCCAGTACTGCATGTCTTCATTGAAATAGTTCAACTCTCGTTTTATCACTTCCTGGATACTTTTTTCCCTAATGCTTTCAGTCCAGCTCTCTTCAGTACAAGCAGCTTTGTTCACACGATAGCCTTTGAAATGATGGACACAGACAAATACTTTTGGTTCCAGGGTCCCACGTATTCCGTCCATCAGCTTTTGAGGTTTCCTGCATTATTCAGTAATTTGCTCATAAAATGAAACCCTTCTCTATTTCCTGGAAGCTTGAGTTTTTCCTCAGTCCTTTTACCTTTTGAACTTTCTAACTCCAGGCTGCTTGTCTTTTTTTAATGATCTTCTAATTTCTTGATGTAGTATGTTCTTCATGTAATCCTAAATCAGATGTGCTGTCATTAGTGTTCAAGGTGTCTGACCTGTCCTTGAAATGTTCTCTCCACCTAGTGGATTATAATCAAGGTCAAATCTTGGATCTCCTAGACTGGTTTTAATTTTGTTGAGCTCTAAGCTGAGCACCTGAAGACCTGCTCAGCAGTCTGCCCCTGGCTTTGCTCTGAACGAACATGTGGCGCTTCTCCATGACCTCTCAGAGATGAACTCTATTTGATTCACGGATATGCCATGTGGTGAGGTCCATGTAGACAGTCACCTTTGATGTTGTCCAAAAAAAATTCTCTGCAATGAAGACATTGGTGATCTTGCACAATTATATCACGTGATCTCCAGTTTAGTTTCCTTATATAGGCATCCCCCCCAACTAGTGATCCTTCTTCTTTGTTTCCAGCTTTTGAATCCCAACCAATAATAATTATTAATGCATTTTGATTGTATATTTCACTAAATTTAGATTGAAGAAGTTGGTAGAATTCTTCACTTATTTTATTCCTGGCTTTAGTGTTTGGTGCATAAATTTGAATAATAGCTTTATTAATTGGACTTCCTTATAGATATGTAGTTATTATCTTATGTGGAAACATAAAAATATTGAAATTAATATATCAAAGTGAAATTTATCCACGGTAAGATTCAGGCCCATTCCATCCCATTTTTGTTTCTCAGAGGTCAACATGGATCTTAGAGGACATGAAGTCATATTTCATGTTACCTGATGACTGATTAGCTGGTATGGAAAAGGAAGGTCTTTTGCATCCGGTCTCGCAGTGCTTCGATGGTGTCATGATTTGCTCAGGGTCAGACAGAAACATGTTGTAAACAAATGAGGAATGCAGTTTGGCTGAGCAAATACCACTGTGCTGGAGAAAGATGCGGCTCCTCCTGGAAAGCTTCACAGCCTCTGACGTGCCAGGGTCGGTCCTGCTCTCGTCTGTGGGGCGGCTGTGAGCCAGAGTCGACTGACCCGCCGTGGTTCTGCAGGGACTGGTATCACCATTATACGGACGAAAAAATGTCCTGTCGACCCCGTCATGCCATGACTAATACATCACAAGTGAGTCCAATTATAAAAAGTGAAAGAGTTTTCATGTTCTTTGCCAATTTTCTTGATTTTAAATCAGATTTGGACAATCTTGCCTGTTTTCTAAAACTTTCACTAAATTTGAAGTCTAAATCTGATCAATGTACACAGAGAGAAAGTAATATAACTTATGATCATGCCACGTGTCTGATGTGTATACACAGTATCTGGTCCGGACTACACAACCCTGGCAGCGGCGAGAGTCTCAAAACTTCCAGTTGGATTTGAAACCATCGACCTTAAACATTTTAAATCTATGTTAACTTGATGGTGTGCTGGTTACAAATTAGCTGAGATCTACATGGTTGGCAGTTTGAAACCATCAGCAACGTTGTGGGAGAGAGACTGAGCTTTCTATTCCCATACACAGTTATAGTCTCAGAA